GCTGGCGCACGGCAGCTTCCAGCCCCGAAAACTCCGCCTGCGTCACCACCTCCACATTGCCCACGTGCGCACGACCTAACACAAAGTCTTTAAAACATGCTTCGCAGTATTTGACACCGGTAGTGACGAACGGTCTACTTTATCTATACAATTTTAAAAACTAGTACTAAATACCTAATATTAAATATGATGATATACCTGTTGTTTTCCGAGATTTTCTATCTGTCGAAAAAAAAACTTGTCTGAATGTTACTTAATATGGAAAATTAAAAATCAAATATGATGCTACAAGAATGACAACAGGAATTTATGAGAGGTCTGGTGTGTCCCTTTAAGCTGCGATGGAACGGTTTTTTAACTTACGTCAAATAATATGAGATACAAATAAATTACCTCTGTAATCAATGCTTGAATCGGAGATACCAGCTTTAATTTTCTGTTTCTGCAACAATCGTAATCTTTTGGTATTTAGGTTACACGTGAATATCTAGGAATACCTAGAACAACTTTTGATGAATACAGTCGGTCGCAATAATGACAAAAAGTCGTTTTTAGACCATTTTCGAACTCTTCTTGAGATATTTTTAAGCTTACCTTAATTCTTTCCGTAAATTTCTTCTCTTGTTCGGCCTTTTCTTTGATCGCGGTTAATCTATCTTTTTCGACAGGAACTTTAGTCTCAGGAACTTTTCTAGCGCCCCTATCTTTATCGCTGGAACTTATGTCTTTGTCGGCTCGGGCTTTCTTATCGCCCGGTGATTTTTCCCTTTCGGTGGGCTTAATGTCTTTAGCGGTAACTCTTTTTTCTTTTTCAGGAGTCTTCTCAGTTTCTTTCTTTTGTTTTTCCTCACTTTTTAATGTTTTTTTCCTAGTTCCTCTACGAGAGACTTCCGTATCCTCATCGGTTTCGTCAGTATCTTTCTGTTTCTTACCTTTTTTATCTATACCTGTCTCTTTTCTATCATGAACTGTCGTCCTTTTTCTCCTCATCTTTTTCTCGCTTTTCGTCACTTCGGGAGTCACCTCCTCTTCAGATTCAAACATCCTAATTTCAACCTGTTGTTCAAGCATGCGCAGTTGTCGGGCCAACATGAACAACACTGTCTGCATGTGCTTAAAATTCACTAAGTTTTGCTGTCGACAAACGAGAAATAAAGAAAAGTGTATCAAAGTTATCTGCAAAGTATTATGTTTATTGATCAACTCTAAACCAGGGGAGAAATCGAACAATTTAAAAGCGATAGGCAAACTCAGGCTACAGATGCCACCTCTAAGTACTCACAGTCTCGGAGCCGAGCGCCATGGAGATGAGGTCCTCGACCTTGATGAGCAGGGAGCTGTCGCTCATATTGGGCTCATCGAGCCGCCGGAATGTTCTCCTCATGCTTGTTTCCTTAGGTACCGCTAACTAAAATTATTTTCCACTCTATTTTCAAATACGATTTACAATTGACATAGTAAATCTTAATCTGCTGTCAGTAATGTGTCAAATTAAATTAAAACTTGTCGTTCTTTCTCCTTTTTTTCAAAACGACACTTCAAACACCTCCTTGATAGTGGAAAGAGAGATATACCTATTTTTGTATATTGGCGTGGCTATTAAAAGGTTTACTAAGGGTTATGTTGTATTTTCAGCAACCAGCAGTTGGCGTGAATACACATACCAGTAGCTGGTACACTTGCATTGAAAATACTGGCACGTGCCAGTTGAAGGCATTTGTGTTTGAAATATTATTTGATTTTGGCAAAAACATTACCTTTGATTACTTCTGGTCGAATTCCAAGCTATCGAGTGCTATCACCCTTCCACTTTCTAACGCTTTATCATTCAAACTAAGCCAGTAAACTTGGTCAGTAGCGCTCAATAACTGGACTGATAATCCATGCATGTATGACTAGCTGTTGTACTTGGCCAACTGTACTGGCCAAGCGAGGCCCGGGTATTAAGTATTTTAAACATGGGTAAGTAAAATAAAACACAAATTAAATTTAACATAATATTTTAATTTTATTTATAATATAACTTTCGTCACCTCAACACGTAACTGGAAACAGCTAGATAAATAATATCGAGTGTTATATTTGTACAACCGCCGTTTTAATACTGGGGAGGCGACACGGCGACATGGCGACATCGCGACATGGCGTCATGGTGTCACGGCAACATGTCCGGCATGACAACATGGCGACATGGCGTCAAGGCGACATGACAACATGGCGACATGGCGTCAAGGCGACATGTCAACATGGCGACATAGCGTCATGGCGACATGGCAATACGGCGTCACGTCGTCATGGCTACTCGCCTGGAATGCTGGGCTCGTACCACTCACACTGATTAACGAATTTCACATAAATAGCAATATTTCATTACATAAATAACAACTAGCGGCGGCGCTGATCCTATGTACAGTAAACATGGCGGAATAGAATTACGTTACTTCTATATATGTTTCATAACTCTACGCAAACGAGCTGGATTATAACTAAGTGTAACAGCGGGTGTTCTAGTCCTCGAGGTTGCGGAAGGCGGCCGACATGTCCTCCA